CCTCAGCCGCTCCCTACGGCCGCTTTCCCGCCCCGTGTGCCCGCAGCGTCCATCCCCACACGGGCCCCGCGCCGGAGGGGGCCCGGTGCTGCCTCGCAGCTCTGAGCGGCCACTCCCGGTCTCTGGCACCGCCAGCATGGCCGGGCAGTGCTTGGCTGGAAACCAGCGCCCCAAAGCCGAACGCCTCTCGGGGCTGTACTGCTCCTGGCCGCGAAGCGTTTTGGGCTTGGTGGGCACTGAACTCTTCAGTTTCAAGTGGCGGGCACTGCTCTTTACTAGAGAGGTGGTGCAGGTGTATCAGCTGATGGGAAACAGATGTTGCACAGGAGTCCTCCCTGCTCTGTGCAGCACGGTGTGTTGGAGTGGTCACGGACTATTCAGTGCCTACATAGTGTGTGCAACCGCAGGGGATATAGAGCCAACAGTCCTGGCCTCAGGAATGCTTTGTAGAAGTAACTCCAGTGCTCTGTGCTGGTATTTTACCATGTGCAGGATAGATTTAAGGCCAAATATATGGGAGATGAAATCTGTTAACGTGTTTTACTCGTCAGGAATTGCTTTCTGCCTAAGGCAGGCTTTCTTGGGTCTTGCTAGGATACAGCTATTCTTTATCCTTAGCTGTCTGATGCAGATAATACACAATGGATTCTGTTATGGCTTGTTAATGAGAAAATATTTGAAAAACAAAACTTGTTGACAGACTAGTGAAAACAAGATGTCTTTTAAGTTTAAGACATGACACAAGTGATACTCATGAATTTATGAGGCTCTATACCAAAGCAAAAGTCAACACAACACCTGAAATGGCAAGACAGAAGTTTTGGTTCGAATGGAAGTGACCATTCCTTTCTTGATGCTGAGTGGCAACAGAAGGGATTTTGGAAAAGCCTGGAATTCTGGGGAAAGCAGACTTCAGTGGTGCAGGAACATGTCATCTCTGGACACATGGGCCCTTAATTTTCTCAGTCACAAACAGCATGACCAGCCAAGGGAACACTTGATTGTTCAAACATTATTAGCAGCTTAGGTAGGAGTTTGAGGTTATTTAAATCATCCACTGCCTAACAAGTAATTTTGCCTTCTTTATCACCTTTTTTTCCCCTTTGCTCCTTTTCTTCATGTCTGACTTAGGCAGTCAGTGCAGCCACTTTTTACAGCACCTTGCTTGTGAACAGAATAGCCAGTGCTCTTGGCCAGGCATGAAAACTTGCTGAAAAGAAGCAAGGCTGTTTCTGTAGTTTTCCCAGCAACAAGCTGTAAGCCAGAGGGAACATTCAAGACTTGTTTTAGCCCATCTCTCTGTGAATCTTTGGAGGTTTTCAGTGATGATGATCATTCACAGTCACTGAAAACTTCCTTACCTTTCAATGAGATTACTTCACACCACTCTTAAGTATCTTCTGGTGTCTAAAAATGGTTTCACCACATAAAACTGCAGAAAAAGTTAAATAAAAAAAAATAATATTTGCCACCATACTTAATTTGGAAAAAAACCCCTCTTTTACATGTGTTTAATAGATTTATTAAAGCTCTATTTGTTTACAAACACTCTATTTGTTTATGAAATACCAGTTATGAAAATGAGATTATGCTACATTTTAGTACAATAGGACCAAATATCCTTCCCTGGATATTTCAGTTCCTCCATGCATAAACTGGAGTCCCTTGAACTACCAGTCCTCAGATGCTGATTAACTTTCCTAACTGTGGATCTTTTTGCTTGTACTTATCTTCCAATTTTTTAAAGTATGCCATACAGTTCTTATCATATGAAAGTAGCCTTTGTTACTTCTCATAGAGTAAAATAATGATCAGTGGAGGGGTTTCATGCTGGCTCAGCTGGCAATGAATAGCATTTATTCATGATACAAAATTAGTAAGTACAAATAAATATTTTAGTTTCTCTGTGTTTGCTTTTTTAAAAGAACTGTACTTAACTGAGTTAATATTTGGGTTGTCACCTTGGCTGTAGCTGTTGCAAAGAATAAGCCCTCTTAAGATGTAACGAAATTAACCTCTGTTCTTTGCTCTGCAGGGAAGCACAGCTGGAGAACAGTGTTGAGAGGTGTAAGTTCAGGAACAGAGCCCAGCAGCAGAATCTCAGGATTAAGAATATGCTTAAAGATTTTTCTGCACCACCAAAATGCTTAAAAAAAAAGCTATATCTAAAAGGCTGGAAGCAGACTTACAAATAAAACTGGCTCAACTATTAGAGGGTCTCTGGTGGTTGATCCTATAACTATCCATAGGTGTCAGGATATATATATCGAGCATTACAAAAATTCAAGCATTCATAGTGCTAGCTCTCTTTTAAAAGCCAGCTGCCTGTGAAAGTCACTGCTTCACATGTAGCTCCACAAAATTATCTTCCATTCTTCATGTATGGCAAACAATGCTATTTTTAGAGTAAAATTGTCATAAACATCATATCCTTATCTTTCTCCTTCTGATTCTTTGTCCTACCATGTTTTACTGATATAAATGTAAGGTGGATAATCCAGCACTTGTCTCATAAATAGTGCCATCTCTGGTAGTCTACTTCATGGCAGTATTTTTCTAGAAAATATTGCAGGTTTTCATTTTTAGCTATCCCATTCCACCCTAGCTGACATCTGAAAATTCCTAACCTCTGTTGGCATTATTAATATTGCACATGAGCTCCATGTGGAACTTTCTTTGCTACAGAGAAAGGGAGTCAAGTTTTATCACAGTGTGGGTCTGATTAAGTTGTTTATCCCCCACCACCCCCATCATTGTGGGGGTGTGATTTTGGCAGGAAAACCCAGGGATAAGAAGGGGAATTGCTGTGCCTGGTCTGCCCCTCCAGCAGGAAGGTGTCGGGATCAGCCCCTCTCCCACCACCATCACTGGTCCTTATTCTGCTCCTTCGGGCTGTGGCTCCAGTTCCTGGTGCTGAAGGACAGCAGTGATGGGCCCAAGACACAGCTCTGAGAAAACAGAGCCAAGAGAGTGGAAATCCTGCTGTGTGTGCTGTGACAGGGACAGCAAAGTTACTGCTGGCACGGGGGATCAATATGGGCATGGATGTTCTTGTGGAATAAACCAGGCCAGTGAATTTTCTTCATAGTGCATACACTGAACCCAGTGTTTTCCCTCTTCAAAAGGCATCCTGCCTCAGCTGAGAGATAGATATTCTAGGAAAGAACTGGTTCATTCAGTGATTATCTCTTCGAACTCTACAATTATTTTAAGTAGGATTTAAGTTCTAATAATTTTTAATGTCATTATCAGAATTAATCCCACAGACTTAATCATGGTTGTGCTTTTGAGATTAAAAATGTATTATCCTTTTGCCAATTCTACCAGTTTTTATTTTCTACAGTATTCTGTGTGGTGATCTACAATTCCACTGAAGTTATGCTATGGTACTGTGAGTTTTGCAATAGTAAGAGTTGAGCAAATGACAGTGACTTGGATTTTACTTTTTTGAGATATGCCTTCTGTGTCATCCATAAAGGAAAGAATAGGTTTAGCAAATAAGAAATTTGGGGGGAAAGTGTTGAAAGTAAAATACTTTAAAGTATTATTTTAAAATAATTTACATACAATTGAAGAAAATTTTGGAATGAAATAACATTGCATTTTAAATCAAAACATTATTTTGAAAATGTCAGAGTCACTTATGTCTAGATGGAGAGTTGCATCACTGAGTCAGACAATCCTATGTGCTCAAAAGAAATTCACAAGTTACAGTTTCTTCTAAAATTCATATTCCACCAAAAAGGTTTCTTTCTTCCACACCTATTTCAGTAATAAAGCCTGCTGGGAATACTTATAGCACAGCCAGCAGGTGAAGTTATTACAAGTGGCTTTGTTATGGCTTTGTTATAGCTTTGTTATTTTGGGGAATATATGAGGTGATGCAGATGTTTTTAAAAAGTTATTATTTGCTCATTTATAATTGGTCCTAATGTCAAAATGCTATGGTGCATGGCAAGAAATTTTCCCCTTTTTAGTCAGAAGATGGCAGGTGCTGTGATTTGTGTGGTCTGAGATTTTTAGAAGACAAGAAACAAAAACAATGGAATCTGTCCTGATAGAGATAATACAATTAGTGCAAACAGTAGGGTAGGAATGGCTCCTGTCCTCAATGGTTAGAGCTGTCTTTCTTCAGAGCAGATACTCTGTACACACTAACTAGCTTTTGATTTTTATGCCCCTGGAATTCTCTGTCCCCTTATGGCCATAAACCATTATTATCTGGGTAAGAGTGGGATGACTGAACAAAGTTCTTGAAGTCACATAAGGCCTATGCTGCAGCCCTCCAAAACGATGTTTTTACACAAGGAACCTGAGGCTAGGTGGTGCTTTGGTATGAATGCCTGCTGCTGTTCGGTGTGGCAGTAGGTGTTTGTATCCAGGAACAGGTACTCGCTTTCCGTAGTGACAGTTTCTACTCTGTTGGGAACCAAAGGGATGACATTTGTGCCAGATAAATCTCATTAATACTTGCAAAATAAATGGAATAGTCTTTATTTGATTATTTATTTGGATTTTAAAATTCATTAACCCTAAATATATAATTATATTTTTATCTGAAACTACTAGATTAACATGACTGAGGACTTAAGATGGACCCATTTTACAGCATGAGATCATAATGGATAAACAGAATCAGGGAAGTTTTCCTTTCTTTATTCATCGAGTGAAACTAATTTCAGAGGGCCAACAAGGTCTGTGAGGAATGTGACACCTAATTTCTCCTTCAAGACGTTCAGTAAGAGATACATGTGGAACGTGTGGGGTTTCCTGGATGGAACAGCCATTAAAGAGTTGCCTCACAGATTGCTTTTGAGAATGAGACTTATCTATGTGAGCACAGGCAGGAAAAAAATGCTGACAAACTGAAGAAACTAATGGTACTAAAATGGATGTTCTGCAATTGGAAAATTAGTTCAGCTGAGTGGGATTTCCCTATCTTTTTTCCTTCACTAAAGAATAGCCATTTTTCATACCATGTGTTACATCAAAGCATATGGCTAATGAGATCCTAATTCAGCTAATTGAGAGTTCCAAACATTTTCAAGCAAGTATTGTTACCAAATTTAGGGCTGTTCTTTGTGCCTGTTTCCCATATCCTCATTGGTCTCTGCCAAGTGCTGAATAATCTGGCCATAAGTACTGAGAATGTATTTTATAGTTTTCATTTCATTTTCCAGTATGATTTAGTCATACTTTTTTTTTGGTCATAACTGGAAAAGAAAGAACTTGTCCTGGGAATGGGCAGCTCCAGAGGCTGTTGAACTGGGAGAGCTCTGAATTAGAAACTCTAAACTTCTGAGAATGCGAGGTGAGGGAAACAAATGAAATACATATAAACTTATATGCTTGATTGAGCAGTTTTTATAGTCTCTTTTGCTCCTTTGTACTGCAGGTATAGAGGCAGTCTCTATATAGAAATATATAGAAATTCCTATAATCTACGTTTTTAAGGTTAAAACTAGCTTCTTCTCATAGAGCAAGTGAGTAGCCAGAAAAGACAGAAAGGTGTAAGAGCAATACATTCCCTACAGAGGCAGCTGCACACTGCGAGGGATCTGGGGAGTGCATGACAGCCCTCGTCTCAGACTGAGAAGGGCAGGGACACTGAGTACACACAAAGAGGGTTGCATCAGGGACATGCCTGGCCAAAGGTGTTCCTTCTTTTAACTGGAATAATTTTGAAGACCATACATTTGAGTTCAGACCGATTTTGAGGATGTATAATTTTTCTCAATCAGTAACACATTTGCATTTTCTCCATCATCTGTTCTGAGTTCCTGCATTGCTGTGAGTAACTCATTTGGGGCTGGCAAGCTAGATGCCCTTCCAGGGAACTGTTTCCTTCCATAGTTCCTGGACCAGTTGTCTGATCTTCCCAAAATCTCCTTGATGTTTCTGCAAGTTAGGGCTTAAAATACTCGTAGGGAATTAATGCAGTTTTGGCCCGGTGATAGCCAAGCCTTTATTGCTGGCACTCCAAAAAGGCTTTTTCTCCTTCAGACAGCCATATGATACCAGCACAGCATAACATCTAACTGCACACACCAAGTCTTGCCAAAGGAAACACTGCATTGGGCTTCACCCACAGGAGTCACAGAGTCCGGGAACTTTATCAGCCATCCAGAAAAGAAATCGAAGACATGAGAGATGGAAGGAATGATTGGTCATTTAATCTCTTTTTCTGTTTTTGCTGGTCTGGTTACCAGGGAGATACTGTATTAAAAGGAGTGGTCCACATATTAGCTTCACTTCATCGTGAAAACAGCATTTAAAAATAAAGTTTAAAAATACTTGCGAACTGAAAATATTATTGTGTTGTTGTTTAGCCAAGCTCAAATAATTTAATACTTTCAATATTCCTTATAAATTATCTTCAGGCCTTTTTCTGTGTTTCTTTAAATTCTATTGGGATTTTCCTACTGATATCCCTATAGGAGAAAAAGTCTGTTTAGATCATCATACCATTTTTTCTAAATCAGATTCAGGGGCTTGTTAACAGAGAGTGCTTTAACACAGTTCATGCCCTCTTCCCATGTTCCTGTTTTGGTCCTTCTAAAAGGCTTCCAGGGCAGACTCCCTCTGTTTTCTCTTTTGTGGAAATAGAAGATGAATATGAATTCCACTAACTTTTTTTCCCCCTCTCATACTTTTTCCTTGATAACATATGATACATGTACTTCTAAGCTGAAAATAAACTCACTGCAACTATTTACTGAAGTAAGCACAGCAGTCACTTGCTCTGTGAAAGTTACCAGGAATGGAAAGAAGGTAGAGAAATCTGTGGGTAAAATTTGAGATGAATTTTTAGCCTTCTTTCAAAAAAGAGATTAGGAGGGATGCAGTATGTCCCAGAATAAAAGTGGTTGAGCCCCATTGGGAAAGGAAACTATTCCAGGGCAGGGCTCAACCTGATGGTGTGTACCATACACCACTGCAGCTTATTCAGCTGGGGAGCAGATGCAAAGAGGATGGTGTGGCTACCAGGGAAAAAAATTAAACCCAGCTGCTTGTTTTATTAGTTCAATTGTAGAGGTGGTGTGACAACAAACTCCAGGACAATGTTTCTAACCTCAAAATGCTGCTTCTGACAAAGCTGGAGAGAACACTGGAGGGAATTAACCAAGGTGAAAGGACTGAAGAGGTAGTAGCCCCCTGATCTGGTGCATAATGCTAGGTCTGTGAAATTAAACTACTTCTTCTAGTCTTGAAAGAAACTGATATCCCAAAAGACTAACAATCTCCTTTGGAACAATACAACCTCAAAATTTTTGCAGACGAACATGCAGTAAGATTCTTCTGAATTTAAGCATCATCCCATTTGTTTAATGAGTTAGTTAGCACAAAGCTATAAATTAAATTAAATCAAATACTAAGCAAATATGAATGATAAATTTTCTAGATTATTAGTGGATATAGAGGTAAAC